CCGAAACTCCGGAAATCCCCGCAGCCTAGGAGCCTCGCTCGGACCCGGGCTTCGCCCCCGGGGTTTCGGGCCGCAGCGGCGGCGGCCTTCCGAGTCCCAAGTTTGGGGCCGGCGAATTCCCGTGGAGCGGGCTCCGAGCCGAGCGTGCCAGAGAAATCGGGGCATCTAGAGGTGAGGGGCGGAGTGGTGGGGGGCCTGCGGAGGGGGACCCCAGGAGGTGCCCTGCCGATCTCTATTTGTTGGTATGCAAACTTTAATTGAGGAACTCGGTTCTGTTGACTTCCCCACTCCAGCCACTCCTCCAGGTCTCTGCCGCCTCAGGTTTGTTTCCGAGTGTGACAGGGGACAATCATGGGAAAAGTTGAAGTGTGTGACTCAAGATCGGATTAAGGTCTGTTGTGCCCGGAGAGGGTGTGATAGGAGGGTGTGCGTGCGTGCGTGTGTGTGTGCGTGTGTGTGCGTGCGTGTGTGGAGGATGGCACAGGCCGGTTTGGTGTGTGTGGCGGAGAGGGAATACCACAGTCTGTGCCAATTGTGCCTTGAGGCAGGAGCACTGAATGATGAATAATAACGCCTGGCTTGGCCGCTTTCCAGTTGATTTATGTCTTCTGTCAAGTCCCTCCTTCTTCGTGAAGCTTTTCCCTAACAATGGCAGCTCACACTGAACTCTTTCTACCTTTTCCTTTTGTACTTATCATGGAGGCTAACACCTTGTGGGAGGTTTTTTTTTGTTTGTTTTTCTTTTAAATCATTTTTCTGCGTGTGATCATTATGCACTTTTTACACGCACAGATTCAAGAATCCAATTAGACCTTTAATATTCACTTTTCTGGGGACTCAATTTTATTATTTTGTGTTGTTGTTGACCCATAAAGACGAATAGAACTAGGCACTTTAGGTTCTTTTTCTTCAGTTATTCAGACAAAAATATATCCTGAGTACCCACTGTTTGCATTGTGTTAGGCACTGTAATGGGCACCTGGGTTGCATGCTTGATGAAGTCATGGGTCCTTGCATCAAATATCCCTTTCAGTCCATTGGATAAGAGAGAAGAATATTAATTGCTCATCACCTATCCTTTTCCACCCAACACAATGCTTAATAAATATTTTCAGAATTAATTAATGAGTGCTAGATCATGGAGGTGATACCATTTGTCATTTTACAAAGTTTCCTTTGCTTTATACTTTGTTCACCATTTGTCATTTTATAAAGTTTCCTTGGCTTTATTCTTTGTTCCATTTTTTCCCAAAGGGTCTGATTCCTTGAAGAAAGAACTTTTATTCTCTTTCAGTAGTTCATAAGGAATCTGAAAATGTGGCTTGTGTTTTATATTCTTATGTTATTTTCAACAATATTCCTTCATTTGCCTTTAAAAAATACATGTGTAACTTTTTTGAAGACAAGGACAAAGGGGTCTCTTTATGAAGTTGTGTTTGGTTTCTAAAACAGTGTGTGCTGTAGTTGTTGCTGATTTACTTTCTGTTGCTAAACAAGCCCTGGTATTCCTCCTCCAGCAGTGGTAATGTTTTGGGGATTGCAAAAGTAGACCCTTAATGTCTTTGGGGTTTATATTGAAACTTTCTGAATACAGCAGGTCATCAAAAATATCGTTTTGTTGTATGAACTTAACTCTTGTTTATAACAATTAGCCTATGGTAAATTTGGTTCATTATACTTGTTTTCCCTAAAGTCACAGATGACCTTAAGTAAGGATTTAACTGAATAGAAATGCTTCAACAGGCTCCTGGCTTTCTCCCATATAACATTTTGAGAGCCCCTATTTTCTGAGTATATCCTCACACCCCAAATTCACTCACTATTTAACTTTGAAGTTTATCCTTCATTTGATGAACTATTTTTTTTTTTTTACAAAGAAACAGTTTTGTCACCTCATGAGAAAGGCGATAAATAACTGTGAAAAGAACCACAGAGCAGTGAAGATGTGGTTTCCCTGCTGTCATCAGTTAGACCCACTTATTTCTACCCCTCATCCTCCCCCTCCCATTCTACCCTAGACTTAGAGTAAAAATTCATACCCCAGCAGAAGTACAAATTGTATATTAAGTCCACAAATAAATTTCAAGTGCCTAAAATACTCTTTCTCTTTTACTTTTACCTTCTGTGGGCATAGCCCTGGCTGTTTTGGAGCCTTGATTTCTCAATAAAATCTAAAAAGATGAAATACAATGTAAGAGGAGTGATTTCAGGAACTTACAGACTAAAACTAAACATTTTGATGAATGAATGGTATCCAGTTGTTGTCAGCTTGTAAATGATCATCTTCTTTCCTTTCCTGGTAGGATTTTAGACTCTGAGGAGCAATTGGAGCTAATCCACATTATGGAAATGGAAACCACCGAACCTGAGCCAGACTGTGTAGTGCAGCCTCCCTCTCCTCCTGATGACTTTTCATGCCAAATGAGACTCTCTGAGAAGATCACTCCATTGAAGACTTGTTTTAAGAAAAAGGATCAGAAAAGATTGGGAACTGGAACCCTGAGGTCTTTGAGGCCAATATTAAACACTTTGCTAGAATCTGGCTCACTTGGTGGGGTTTTTAGATCCAGAAACCAGGATGCAGATGAGAACAGCTTACATGAACCTATGGTGAAAAAACCCCTGGAAATCAACACATCCTGTCCACCAGCAGAAAACAATATGTCTGTGCTGATTCCTGAGGGGACAAATGTCGGGGACCAAATACCAGAAACTCGCCCTTCTACTGATGCTCCAGAACAAGTGATTCCAATCCAGGATCACAACTTTCCATCAGAAACCATTAGTGGGACAGTGGCCGATTCTACAGCAGGGCACTTCCAGACTGCCCTTTTGCACCCAGTTTCAAGTGATGTTCCCGTTAGTCCTGACTGCATAGACAAAGTCATGGATTATGTTCCAGGGGTTTTCCAAGACAACAGTTTTACAATTCAATACATTTTGGACACCAGTGATAAGTTGAGTACCGAGCTCTTTCAGGACAAAAGTGAGGAGGCCTCCCTTGATCTTGTATTTGAGTTGGTGAACCAGCTACAGTACCACACTCACCAAGAGAATGAAATTGAAATTTGCATGGACTTTTTGCAAGGCATGTGTATTTATGGCAGGGATTGTTTGAAACACCACACGGTCTTGCCCTATCATTGGCAGATCAAGAGGACAACTACCCAAAAGTGGCAGAGTGTATCCAATGATTCCCAGGAGCACTTGGAAAGATTTTACTGTAACCCAGAGAATGATAGGATGAGAATGAAGTATGGGTATGTATTTATAACTTCTTTAAAGCTGTTGTTAAGTACTATAGAGAAGGTAAAGAAGTTAAAAGCTGAGTAGGGTAGTTTCTTTTAAATAACCTAACAGGTTTTATTCTTTTTTCCACTGTTATTCTTCTGGCTGTGTGCTGTACTGATTTTTCAGAGTGGTTGAATGAAGGCTATTTACCTAACCAGACAAAGTTTTTATGATTTGAACAATTCAGATGTTACTCTGTGCAATATGTATATGACTGAGAAGTTACCTGTACAT